CCTCGCTTTCACTCTCACTTTTGATTTTGCTCGCTTTCACTCCCACTTTTGATTTTGCTCACCACTCATTCCTATAGGTGATTTGAGTGTACGACTCTTCAGCTACTATTATGATTCTGGTCACCTTGAGATGTCTCCTTTTATGTTGGTGGCCAACTATGTGCCAACTGTTTTCCTTGTGCAGCAACATGGAAGACCTTGGTGTGATTGATTTAGGAGACCTTCATATGGTTTCGTTGTGGACGTCGGTTTCCCAAGAAAGGGGCTTTTGTCCCATATGACTGTGATTGCAGGAATCTTCTTGTTCTTGAAATGTAGTTTGTTCAGATGGGTGACAAAGATGCAAAATCTCGACCTTACCCATATAAGGCTTCTCGTTGAGGGATTTCTGCTTGCCCCTGAAGTATGAGATTGACATGATGGGTTGAGAACCACCATTATCTCGATCTTTTTCGACGAAGATTTGTTTGAAAATGTTGGCAGTCTTGGGCTTATTTGGGGGAATGTATGTTCAGCTGGCTTTGCCCCCTGACTTTGAGATTACGGTTTCATGAGTCGTGGTTTGAGGTTTTTGTGAGTGCAATCTGGCTAGGGACCTATCGAGATTTTTGTTTGACCTCTAAATGTTGACTGCAGTGGATTTTCTGCTTCTGGCTGTCTCCCAAAAATATGAGTAGGATGATGTGATTTTGGCTATAATGCCTTTCATATCATGAAAGTTTCTTGCTTGAAGTTCCTTCTTTTTGTATCTTGAGATTAATCGCAAAGACCTTGGCTTGGTGCAGACAGTTGGTACTTCAAATGCTAAATATGGGCACCTAATTTGTAAGTCCTACAACATTTTTTTTTTTGTGTGTGGGACTTACTTGAATTTTTTTATGCCCCTGGCTATGCTTTTTCTTTCTTAATCTGGAGTTTGTCTTTGGTGGGACGAGTATTGAAAAGATCGAGAGTCTGTTTTGGTGATTGATCGTGTGGGTGTCACTTCTCGTTAGCTATGTTGTATTGGCTATTCTTTTTGTAGAAATGAGGATTTTGATGCCATGTGCTTGTTTGTATAGATGAGTGCTTCACTCGTGTGGTTCTTGGGTTTTGATAAATTGGATCTTTGAACTTCCCGGTCTTCTTGTCATGAGACGTTGTGAGAGCTTCTTATCCATAATGTTGTGTCCCTTGTGCGTTGAGATTTGGATATTTGAGTTCATGTAAACTGAGTCTCAATTTGTTGGCAAAAGTCGAGTGTAGTGGTGACGAGATTCTACAAGTAGCATGATGTCGTATGCTCATTACACCTTTTTACTATTAGCTCACGTAATTTATGAACACCAGTAGGGTGTTTGTCTCTTGATTTTAGTGGAACATGCACACTCTCAACACCAGTGGGTGCTCAAAATATTGATTGTAGCAGGGTGTTTATAATCACTCAACACCAGCGGGGTGTCCCAAATCTCAGCACTAGTGGGGTGCTCATAATTGCTTATCATGGCAGTCTCATGGCTTAACTTCGAAAATAAAGTTGGATTTGGATGGCTTTCATTTTTATAGCAGATAAATCCATTTCAAAAAAAGGATCTGTAGTGGCATTCGTTATTTTGATATAAAAAACCATTGATGCGAACTCTTAAATTAAGATTGATAATGGTCACGCAATGCTCCGAAAAGGTCGAAACGTGAAAGATCTTTTATTCATGATGAAGAAAGCAAAAGTGATACATATTTTGTTATGGCAAATGATCTCGATATTTTATTTACTTAGATAGGCTCGATACCATCCTTGAATCGAGTTTTGCCTTGTAGTATGCCCACTAATTCTCATGCGTTGGCAGTGAATTCATGTTGACGTCTGGGCGTTTCGGCTCTTCTTCGAACTTCAACCAACCAGCTTTTACCATCTCTTGAATCCTTATCTTCATAGCGTTACAATTTTCCACTGAGTGCCCTTGGACTCCGGAATGGTAATCGCATTGCTTATTGAACCTATACCGTCTTGGATATGGAGGTCGTAGAGTCTCACCTGAAATAGGAGCAATTAGTCGTTCATGGAGTAACTGATGGAAGAATTCGGTAAACGTGATTGGGATTGGATCAAATACCCTTTTTGCTTTCCTTGGGATAGTGACATCTCGATTAACACCTTGTTTTGGTACCGATAATGGGATTTGATTTTCTGGTGTCATGAAGTTCAGAGGTCGCAATATTGGTGTGGTTGTTGCAACATAAGAAAGAGCTTGATTCTTTTGAAAGTGACACTTCCAAATATTCTCTTCTGCTTCCCCCTGGGTTGACTGTAGTTTTCTTTTATTTCTTACCCTTTGGATTGCCCTCTCATCCATTTCGTGATTCTCTAACTTCCCTTGTCCAATGCGGATCACACGCTCTTCAAGCCTTTCTGATCTTCGCGGATTGTCACATTTTGATTGTTCTACATCATGCACGTTATTTGAGAGCAGGAGTTGAGTCTTATCACTTGATTTTACTTTGTCGTGCGTTTGGTATAAAATTTCCTCGTCAAATGGCGCATCTCCAACTTTCGCTTCCATTTTCCTCTCAATTTTTGACAAAAGTCTCAAAATTGTGCTAACATCCTCTTTCATTTATTCAAGCCCAATCACTCTTCTCTTGATGTCATTTAAACCCTTCTGAAATGTCTTCATGACGAGCTGAGCCTTAGATCTTGTCGAGTACTTGAGGATTTGACTTTTTCCTTGTGGGAGAGCAATTTTAAGAAAACCTAGTTTTGTCTTAACATTGTTAAACTAATTATGTTCTTAATATGTATGCATGATGCTTATGCAAAAATGCAATGATGCATGAATGCAAGAATGATTTTTAGGGATGCATATGCTTTGCAAAAATATTTGTATGACCAATTTTGAATTAACGAATGAAAGTTTTTAGGAAAACATAAAGATTATGGGTTTTAAAAATAGCTTTCATCCAAACAATCACGTCAGTTAAGTAATAGACAGAACACAACATATCATATTAATAAAAAACATACATTTATATTATAGAAAGAATGTCGCCTATTTAGGTACACCTATGGCTTCGGGCGGCGTAATGACATGGTTTTAGGGTGGGTTTTGGGATTGTTTTGGACGGTTTAGGGAAGCTTCTATGCTTACTATATGCTGGTAGAGGAATTTCTAGCGATTTGGCTCTCAAGTTGTATCCTGTAGTAGCCCTTTCGAACTGGCTGGATACCTCGAGATAATCCTCCGATCCGAGTTCAACTTGGTTGGAAAGTTTTGCGTGACTACTACTACTGTGGATGTCACGGTGCTCCTTTCGATTTTCTAAAGGGATAGCTCGGGCATATAGCTTTTGTGCATGAATGCAAAATTTAAATTGTGAAAATATAATTGCGCAAATTAGTAGTATACACCCAACACGTAAAAGAAAGTTAGAAAAACTTATCGAACTTAATTATGTAGCTTGACTCTCGAATATCCCCAACGGAGTCGCCAATTGTTGCAATCGTCCCTCCAGGGGGTCGAGGTCGTCGCGTTCGCTTTTTGGGAGTCGCCATCGATCTTACCTGGAGTGGATCGAACACTCTTCGAATCGGCTCTAACCTTAGGGTCAGAACCGAGATATGGTCTGCGGTAAAGAGATTCAGGTTCGGGAGTACGGTTGCGTGTGGGAAAGTGAAATCACACCCCACAACGCCCTAAATCGGTACTACTTAAGTTGATAAGTTTTATGTGTGTTGGGTGTTATTTTGGTAATAATTTTGTATTTTTAAAATCCCACTGGATTATTAATATATTGCCTAATAATAAAATAATACGTCAATGGACGTTTAGTTCATGATTAGATATTTTAGATATTTTTAGGGCCTTACTGGACCACTAAAGAAATTAAATCGTATTAATTGTAATTTAATTAAACGCCCACTGACATAAAAATTAAAAGATAAAGTTAATTGGTTAGTTGGACTCGAACCTTATCGGTTGCCTACGTACCCGTAATACGGGATCAAAGTCCATGTAGTTCGTTATATCTTTGATAATTTAATTGTATGAATTTTGTCACGTTACACCTATAATGGTTCTCGTATTAAGGGTTTTTGTTAACTTTGATAGTTTTAATCCTAACTTTTATCACGCCCCACTGAAGGTTATCCTTGCATTATAATTTCGTTAATAGAATTTTAATTATTAAGAAGAAATTCGATGTATCAGAAAATAAGCAAAACTAACTTAATCTGCATTTAACATTTCGTATTAAGGACTTTAAACAAATAAAACTAAGTGGGATGATTATAATTATGCATGATAGGCCAATAGTCCAACTGGTTAAATTGCCAGTCACTAAATGCACTCGTTCCACTAAACAAGGGTTTGAAACACCCGCACACCCCATTTTTATCGTCGCTTTTTTCGTTTCAGAGAAAGGGGAGGGGTAATTTCGTAATTGCTCAAAATGACGGTGGCAGGGCCACGTAAATGTTTAGAAACCCTAGGGGAAATTTGGTCTTTTGCAGGTGGATATAAATTGATCTCTTGAGACCAAAATCAAACCATAATTTTAACCCTAATCAAACGACCACCTCACTCATTCTCTCATCTCCATGTCTCACTCCTCTCTCCCTCTCCATCTCTCGTCTCTCTTCCAGAAGCAAAACGGAACCCTAGCAGACCCGCGCCGCCCTCTGCCTCACCTCTCTCCTTCCCTTCAACACAACGAAACCCTAGCCGCAAAGCGCCGCCCTCTCCTTCTTCCTTCTCTTTGTGTTCTTGCCGTCTCTCTAAACTGAGAGGGATGGCGGCGCGAACTTCTCCTCTACTCCTCCCCACATTCTCCCCTTCTCATTGCTTCTGAATACGAAAAGGGAAGACAAGGCTAAAATCAAAGGTTGGTTTGCCTTCCCCCTTTTTTTGTGATTCTCTACTATCTTTAGGTCCGATTTTTATGGATTTTGCCATTCTAATAATTTTCATTGTTTATTTTCCGGGAATTGGCCCAAAACCGAGGGGGAATACTAGATCTGTTTAGCCCCGACCTCGATCTCTTCCTTCTATTTGGAACAGAGGCGAAAATGGGGAGATCTCACCCTTTGGTAATCTCCTTCTCCCATGCATGCTCATTTTTGTTCGATTTATGCATTAGATCGAGATTTAACTTGTTTCAGTTTTTTTTTTGTATCGGATCTCCGCCGAGAAAAGGAAGGGTGAGGCAAAAGTTGTTGGAGGTTCTTTTGTTTTGATTTTTTGCTATTCTGGGTTTTTTAGTTTATTATCATTATTTGGGATTCTAACTCTTGATCTTCTTGATTTTTGCAGATCTCTACAGTTTGAAGAAACTAGGTGATACCTTTTCTAAACCTAAAGTGGATGGTTTGGTTATCGTGGCCATGATTGTTTATAAATCTCTTTGCCTCTTTGGTGTTATGAAAATAAAATTTGTTAGAACCCCTGCTAGGTTTGTTTAGCCTTAATGTTTGGTTTTGGATATGGTAGAGAACTTGCTTTATTAAATTTTGAAAATCTATAATGATCCTAGGGTCATTGGAAATCACAGCTACTGCTTATGACCATCGATTTAGTAGGAATCTCTCTAGAGTTGGGATTTGGTTAAACGATTGAGTAAAAAGGCTGATACGAATTGGTAACATATGAAATTCTCAATGACATTAGGGCTTTTATTGTGTTTGGCATACAAAATAATAACTAAATGAGGACTTTGTAATTACCAAATTTTGGTAATTGGGTAAAAAGGGGGTGCCCTTAAACACAAAAGAGGTATTTTAAAATACTCTCCCAAGGGTCTGATTTGAATTCTTTTTGTTGTTTTGAATTTATTGTTATCTATTAATTGAGTAAAAAGGGTTTATGATCATTTAAAGACAGCTTTTCCCACCAAAGTACCTAAGTTTTGACAATCATGTTTGTGACTTGCGAACATATTAGCTTGAATAGTTAGGGCTCTAGATCGAGTAACAACTCAAAGTTTACTTGGAAGCACTAAGATAAGATCCGACAGCAAGTATGCACTAAAGAGCATGTTAATTTGAAAGAAAAGGTTAATAGAAATCTCTATATACTTTGAATTTGTATATAAGATGTGATGCATATATTACTAAAACATTATTTCCATTAAATCAAGCATAATAATCTATGTATGATGGCTATGCTTTTGGTGATTGGGGTAAGGGATACCAACCTGGTTTGCTGTGTCGTTTGATAGCGGTGGTTATTGCTCCTTGGCTCTTGCTGTTTGTCATCACCTTAGTGCTCTTCCCCCAACTTTCTTGCTAACTTTGCTCATTGGACCCTTGAGAACTAGTCCTCCCTTCCCTCTCTATTTTTGTTATTTTTTAGCCGATCTCCCCCTTCCAAACAGTGGGTAAGCTTTCCTTATATAACTGACGTGCACTATCCTTTCCTTTTGTGCTGGCCGTATATAGTTTTGCTTTCAGAGGAGCTGGTCGTCCTCTTCTTTTTTGTGGGCGTGGGAAATTTCGGCTACCCTTTGGGATTGCGAAATGGACGATGGAGTTGGTTGATTGGATTGACCAGAGTTGACTGGGTCGATCAGAATTGACTGGGTTGACCAGTGTTGACTTTGGTTGATTGGGTTGGTTGGCCCGATCGGAATGGGCCGAAAATCATGGGTCTGAATTGGGTTTTAAATGTGGGCTGCTGGTTTGGGCCCTATCCTTTTTTTTTTTTGCTTAATTGCAAGTTTGGTCACTCGAATTGCTACAAAATTTTATGTTTGGTCACTCGAATTGATTAATTCCATTTGTAGTCACTTAAATTAGTTTAACAATCCAACTTTGGTCACTCTCCGTTAACCTCCGTCAAACTCCGTTAGTACCGTCAGTTAACTACTGACGTGGCTAACTGAGGTGCTTAGTCATCCTATTTTAACCACACAAAAAAACATGCCACATCATTTACCCCTCCATATTTTAAAAGTCCACCCAAACCCAATCAACCCCTGAACCGACCCATTCAGCTGTTCCCCCTCTCCTTCCCCCCTCTTCTTCCCCAGCTCCGACCCCATTCAATCTCCCAAACCCTATTATTGACGACGGCGCCTTGGTGATTAGAGACCAAATTAAGAATGCTCACCGTCCTGAACACATCGAAATTCACCATCCCGTCGGCATCGACTCTCCGGATCATCTCCTTGCAGGCTTCCATCCGCTTCCCTTCCTTCATCCCAGCGACGACAGCACCGACCCCAGCTCCTCCACCGTGATCATCCCGTCCTGATCCCTGTCGAACACCTCGAACGCATCTCTCAATTCATCTCCTCCGACGCCGCCGCTGTCAATTTTGATTTCCTCTGCCTCCATATCTGAGGCCCTCGCCTCTCCCTCCCCGCCAGCGGCCATGTTTCTACACAGGATTTTGAACTCCTCGAAGTCAATCAGCCCTTTGGGATTGCGAAATGGACGATGGAGTTGGTTGATTGGGTTGACCAGAGTTGACTGGGTCGATCAGAATTGAATGGGTTGACCAGTGTTGAGTTTGGTTGGTTGGCCCGATCGGACTGGCCCGAAAATCATGGGTCTGAATTGGGTTTTAAATGTGGGTTGTTGGTTTGGGCTCTATTCTTTTTTTTTTTTTTTGCAGGTCATGGGTGTGTTTCTGGCCCAAATTGATGATCTATGGAGTCCCAAAAAGCCTCATTAGGCCTCCAATTATGATTGGTGTCAAATATTGAAGAAGTCTTCTCTTTTTTATATACTTAATTTTTTTATTTGTTCATCTAAATGTAATAATTATTAAGTGTATATTTGGACTTTGGAATTAGGCATGTAATTATTTTTTGACTTATCATTAGAAAGTTGATATAATTATTGAAATGCATGGCTCCAAACATTTCAATGATTCTCTCCAACCCAATTCGCTTGTTTTCCCCAATCGTAACCCAAATCCCGACTTCTAAGTAAATAGTTGGTAACTACGAATTTCTACCAATATTAGTAAGATTACCAGTGTCCTCCTATCCCATTCGACCAATTTCAAACCTATGTCACCAATCGTTAACCGCATACAATTATATTAGTATAGTTCGGGATGGCATACTATTGCTATTCTAAATAAAGCGAATTTGGTAGTCATTAGCTACTGCTAATCCTACCTAGTACAAATATTCAAACTAAATAAAAAGCGGATATGGAAATCATTGGTACTTTCTGATACGCCACTGCTAATCTCAACCAAACCAACCTCGTCCAAACTTTCACTTGAGTTTTCTTTTTATGTTGGATATTCTTCTGAGTTTTGAGTAGGATGGTTGCTCCGGACAAAATGTGGTGTCTACACATGCTACGCGATATATCTGGATTTATTTTCTGTTTCAGAAGTCAGAACTAATAATTTATGCACATGAATTTATCCGGATGATCTAGACTCAGTTTAAAACCACTGTGAAGGTCATTAGATCTGATCCTGGAGAGGAATTCAGCACGAATAAACTACTAGATCGTTATATAAGTCACAGGGTATTATGTCTCAACAGTCATGTCCGGGAGTCTCACAGCATAATGGGCTGGTGGAACGCAAGCACAGACACGTCCTTGAGTTAACTCGAGCCTTGTTGTTTCACTCGCATGTTCCTCGCAGTTTTTGGGTTGAGGCGATAAACACAGTTACTTACTTGATAAATCGTCAGCCTTCCTTGAAGATAGAGAACCATTGTCTGTATTACCTCTTCTATCATAAGCAGTCGGATTACTCATTCTTGCGCATCTTCGGTTGTGTTTGTTTTGTCTTACTTCCCAAGAAAGAGCAGAACAAACTCGATCTGAAGACACTAAGTGTGTCTTCGTGGGGTACAGCGAAAAACATAAAGGTTATCTTTGCTATGATACGACTGCTCGGCGAATACGAATCTCCTGTCTTGAAGCTTTCTTGGAGCATGTTATGCATTATCCCGTGGAAAAGCAAACTAGTGATAACTCTCTTGATTCTTTGAGAGCTTACCTGCCTATGATCATGTTCCCATTCCCGCAGCTGTTGGTCCACATGATGATCCCTCTACTACTCATGATGGAACCTCACCTCCCGACACTCATTCTATTGGGGTAAATAATTCCCCATCCACCTTCGAAGCTTCCACATCCCATTCCTCTTCAGCGCCAACCGAGAACACATCCCCCTCTTCTGTTTCCTCTCGGCAGTCTTCACATGCGGGGTCTTCCTTTTCACATTCCAGTAGCACCGGCCCATCTTCATCAGGGCATTCATCGCAAGATGCGATGGAAATTTCCCCTCCTCCATTACCTGCTCCCAGGTGATCCCAACAAAGCATGCATGGGCAACTGCCAAGCAAGCTACTGGATTATGATTGTGTGGGTTACTCCACTGAGTCTATCCTTATTCCTAAACATTATCGAGAGGCAAAGGATGATCCCAACTGGAATGCGGCCTTGGATGAAGAGTTTGATGCGTTGGAAGCTAATCATACATGGGATCTCGTTCCTCGTTGCCCAGAGATGTCTGTAATTGGCAGTAGATGGGTTTGTTCTCTACAAATCAAGCACGATGATGCTATTGAGCAATTTAAGGCTCGAGTTGTTGCCCAAGGTTTTAGGCAGAAATTCAGGATAGATTATGACAAAATGTTTGCTCCGAAGGCCAAAATGCAAACGGTTCGCATTGTTCTTGCTGAGGCAGCTAGTAAATCATGGTCTCTTCATCAAATGGATGTGAAGAATGTGTTCATGTATGGAGATTTGAAAGATGAAGTGTATATGGAGTGTCCTCCTGATTATGCCAAGGGAAATAAAAATATGGTCTGCAAATTAAATTGATCATTGTATGGGTTGAAACAAGTGCCTAGGGTGTGGTTTGAGAAATTCCATAGCACTATTCTGTAGGCTGGTTTTACACAGAGTCACAATGACCCTTCTTTATTCACATGACAGACAATTTCGGGCATTACAGTTCTGTTGATTTATCTCGATGACATGATTGTTACAGGAGATGACCAGGACAGTATTCATGAACTAACTAAACATCTCCATATGGTTTTCAATCTCAAAGAATTGGGTTCTGTATCTTATTTTCTGGGATTGGAAGTTCAACATTCCAAGTCCGGTATTCTGTTATGTCAAAGGAAGTATATCATCGACTTATTGGCGGCCACAGAGTATGCAGATTGCAAGTCGTGTGCTACTCCCATGGAACAGAACCTGAAGCTGAGTCGTTCTAGTGGGGATCTTCTCGAAGACCAGAATTTTTATCATAGTGTTATGGGTAGTCTTATCTACCTCACGCATACTAGGCCAGATATTGCCTACACCGTTCAGGTTTTGAGCCAGTTTGTGGGCATGGCGCGTACTACTCATTTGGATGCAGTCCATCGGCTTCTTAGGTATCTCAAGCATACTACAGAGGTTGGAATTTTCTTCCCTGTAGGAGGGGAGCTAGTGATCGAGGCATTTGCAGATGCAGACTATGCTGGATGTTTGGATACGCGGAGATCTACGTTTGGCTGGTGTATTCGGGTTGGCAAAGCCTTTGTATCATGGCGGTGTCGTAAACTGGAAAGGGTGTCCAAATCATCTACTGAGACAGAGGATAGGTCCATGTCTGAGGTTAGTTTCGAGACGATCTAGCTACAAAGATTGTTTCTTGAGCTTGGTGTTGCTTGTAGAATGCATATGCGCCTGTATGGAGACAACACGAGTGCAATTCAGATAGCCATCAACCCCGTCCTGCATGAACGAACTAAGCACATAGAAGTTCATGTGCCTTATATCCGTCAGTTGGTGGCAGAGGGAACTATACAGATTAGCTATCTGAATACTGAAGATTAGATTACAGACATATTCACTAAGGCTGTATCTTCAAGAATACACTAGTACCTATCTGGCAAATTGATGTTACGCACCCAACATCAATTTGAGGGAGGGTGATATGATCCAAATTGGACCAATATACGAGTCACAATTACTTGAAATGGAAGCAAACTCAAGCTGACTGAAGAACATTAATTTTTGGTTAAGTGTTTTCACTATTTCAGGTGGCCTACTTTGGAGGCTTGGTTCTCACAATTGGCTCAATGAAAATTTGAGTTTGATAGATTGTTTTGAAGGTAAGAATATTATCTACACGATGGTATGCTTGGTAGTCCAAGAGAAAGTCCAGACTGTCATTTTCTATACGTACAAAGTTGATCTCTGGAAAGCTGAAAACTGCCAGAATTTGGCTAAGTCAGAAAACTATTTTGTAAAGCCTACTTTGGAGCTCGATTAGAAGAGCATGGATGTGATTCAAGTACAAAGGCTTCCACAACATGAAATATTTATGTTTGTCTACCAAGGGAAGGAATTGGATGAAGGATTGGAGTTCTGGAAGACCTCGAACGAATGACACGAAGTTAGTACGAAAGCTGTTTTCTGGCAGTTTGCTTGTGCTAAAAGGCAGCTTACTTGTGCTTGAAGAAAGAGAGTTTGTGGCCAAATTTTGTGTTCTTTTTAGGGTTTTTTTTACCATAATTATTTCCTAGTTCTATTAGGTTTGTATTAGGTTTTTATTGTCTTTAAATACCTCTCAATTCACATTGCA